GATGTTACGAAGGTGAAGGCGGCAGGATTTGGATAGTGATTGGATGTGGGGAAGAAAGGTGATGTCCGAGTCAAGGATGACACGTAGGACCTTGGCATGGGAGGAGGGGTGGATAGTTGTGTTAACAATCTCAAGGGAAAAGTTGGGGGAAGGTGCACGGGCAGGAGGAAATATCATGAGCTCAGTTTTTGAAAGATTGAGCTTTAAGAAATGTTGTGACATCCAGACGGATGTCAGTAAGTAGATTAGTGACACGAGAGGACACTGAGGGGGAAAGTTGTGGAGTAGAAAGATATATTTGAGTGTCATCGGCATAGAGATGGTATTGGAAGCCATATGAGGTTATTAACTGACCAAGAGAGGAGGTGTAGATGGAGAAGAGAAGGGGTCCAAAGACTGAGCCTTGGGGGACCTTTACAGAAAGAGGAGCGGAGGAGTTAGATTTGTAGGTGACACTAAAGGAGCGCTTAGATAGCTATCATTTCATAACTATGACAAGTGGCATGTCTATACCTTCACTCAAAGTCACAAAGCTTTTCTGGACATATCCAGCACTTCCACGGAGATCAAAGTCTGAAGAAGTGGCTTGGACAAGCTGCGAAATATCTTCAACATTAAAGAACAAGGCTAGCCGAATGTGACTAACTACTACTAGTGGTACTAGCCTTATGCTTTATGGTCATTTGAGATTCAAATAATGCTCAGCACAGTTCTCTATAACCGAAGTTATGACATTTAGCTTTCTATGGGCAATTATCTGATGGTGTAATATTTTGAACTCTAATTATTAACCATGGGGCCCTGAAGCTAAAACACGCATATAGATCTCTTTATATTTAATAAAAGGGTCCTATTCAGTGCTTTATCTTCTATATCTAAATAAAATGTAGTTTGTTTTTTTTAATTAAAGCAAAACCTCTAGTCACAAGCCTGCAGGCACCAAACTTGCTTAACTGTCTGTCCCTCCAGGGCAACTTCATTGCCTGCAAAATTCAAAAGACAATAGTGACTATCTGAATGTCTGAGCATAGTTACGTTCCTGTCTGCATCCAACTAGCAATGCTTAGTACTGGAGTTGCCTGTTGACAAGCCCAAGTATTGGCAGGTGGTAGGTGTGCCTATGTTGTAACGTTCAGATAATTAATCTTGCCTGTTGCAGGCGGGGTCTGACTGGAAGGGGGTGGGTCATGGAGTGACAAACAGTGGAAGAAATGATACGGCTATATAGGGGTGATTAACAGGTTTATCTGTGACAGGCAGGGCCATCACTGTAATGAGGCAGCCTGAGGTTCTTGCCTCAGGTGGCATCTCTTTGGGTCACGTGGGGGGGCATTGTGCAGGCAATGCGGCATGACCTGCACAATGCCCCCCCATTTGTAGTGTGCCTGCTGCCCCCTTTCCGGGCAGTGCGTCCCATGTTGCTAAGAGTCAGGCAGGGAGATGTGTAAGGGCCAACTTTAAGCAACCTGCCTGGGACGCTCTGGCCAGCGTCCCACCAAGTTCCTGGCAAACAGTGATGTCATTGGTTGCCAGGAGCTTGGCAGGACACTGGCCATATCATCCCAGGTTGCTTAGAGCTGGGTGGGGAGATGCAGAGACCTTACACATCTCACCGGCCAGCTCTTAGTGGCATCACTCACCACCATCAACCACTGATTGTGCACAATCCAGCAACCACCACCGCACCGCCTCAGGCGTCAAAAACCCAGATAGCAAGGATAACTTGCCACAAACTTGTGTCAGGGTGAAATTGTAATTTTGTTAACTTGCTGCACACATTCCCGGCAAGTTGTAGACTTGCAGAACACTCGCAGCACAAGTTCTAGTTGACACTTTTTGAATTTGTAGCAAGTTTGCTTGGCAAGTCTACAGCAAGAGTCCTGCAGGTCTTAGCAAGAGCTCTGCAAGCTCGCTGGTCTGGAGACTTGCAATGCAGACTTGCTGTAATCGTGCAACAAAATTGTGAAGCTTGGCAAGTCTGCAAGCGTTTAGCAAGTCATTTTCAAACTTGCAGCTCAATTGCTTGCTATCTGGGAAGGCTAGGGACACCCCTGACTACAGGAGACTGCTAAATAAGCCTAATAAGTTGAAGAACATGTACCAGAACAAAAAAAGAAATGTAAAACAAATAAATTACAGCTTTGTTCTGTGCAGTAGGCACACAGCATCTATGCCCCCTGTCATTTTTTTCACCTTAGCACATACTTGCACATTTTGTTTTACAATAGGAGAGCTCAAAACTCATTTACAGTATAGAGTTGTGCTAAAGAAGGCACTGAAACACATTCAGCCCTCTACATCAAGACAGTGCAGTTATCCAAGATGCCACGAGCTTTCAGATGACTTAAATGTGTTCTGACTGGTTGCTTTTTATCTTTGTACCTTATCTTTGTACAAACAAGGAATGGGATATTCCTTGTTTGGGCAGTGTTGCCCAATGGAATCCCAATGCATAGGAGACTCACAACGTCGTTGGTTGCAAAGACACAGGTGGAACCTGTGTTTGCTTTACTTGGATGCTTGCCAGACCTGGGTTTCTGCCCACATCCAAGCAAATCAAAACCAGGCCAGTTTGGTCATCACTAATTCCGGATGACCGAGTCCTATCCTGACATATTTATGCTAGGACTGCCTACAGGAAAAATGTGCTTACTGCCCTGAGGGCTGCCATGTACTTTAGTAGTATAGTGCTGTATTGTGTTACCTGCAGATAATGTTAAGACCATACATGGTAAGGAATACTTGTTATTGGCTGAAAATCTGACAGTTGCAAGCTTTTGGGGCACTTTCTCTTCTTCAGGATTGGTCTAGTTAGGGGAGGAATCACTAACAATCATGACTGTCCTGCTGGGCGAAAAACCTGTTGACCCATCACATCTGTTCCAATCATTTACTCTTATAATCAACAGAGCTAGGGCAGTGTGACCATCTGCAGCAGAATAAGACTGGTGATCCATTTCAGCTAATATCTTTTTTCCCATAATCCCTTGTTATAAAAAAAAAACATGGGGGTGGTGCAGTTTATATAACTCACTGCTATAGGAACATCCTCATTACAGCTCAGGACAACCACGCAGACCTTGGCCGGCTTGGCAACAGTTGCATAACCTATAAAGCGGGGAAATCATTTTGTATTTACAAGCTCTAGCAACAGCGGGACTCCACCTTTTTAGAGTTGCCTTCAGCACCTAATCATTATTGACTGTATTCTTTAATGGTTACACAGTTACGACACAAAGGGACAGGCTGTTCAGTGGAAATAGATTTCCTCAAACATTTTCGTGTTTCTTTATCCTGATAAAAGGAACTTTGTAATATAATAGGAGAGATAAATTCCACCTAGAAAGCAGTTGTTGAAAACACCCATTTATTGGAGCAGATTAAGTGTATTGAGTGTCAGTCATGAATGTGGGAGATGTGTGAACAACAATGTCACATTTCGGCCTCGAATCTGAGCCAGGACTCCACGTCTTTCCTGAAAGTCAATTCAGCTCCCGGAGTGTTATTGGGTTTATGGTGTTGTATTGTACTTCTGTGTTCCAACAAACAATGGGCGTGTTATTGTTATGAGGCTTTATGAATGCACGTTCCCTGGTCGGTAGGGTTCCATTCGGTATTTATCTTTTGATCATGATCTGTCTAATGTTTCAGTTTTATATTGTTTAGAAAGTACAAGTTGCCAAAGCAATTGGACACCTGTACTGGTATTATATACTGTATATTGTATATTGTTAGTATAGTGTATATAGAGTATAATATGTAACAAAGTATCAAGTAGCTAAATAATGATACATGCTTAAAGGGCTGATCAAAATAAATAAGATACATATTACAAACTGGTTTAAGGTCCCCATTCACACCTGAGCACTGTGTAGCTCGAATGCCTAAGTGCTACAACGCTCAACTTGGTTTCAATTAGGGATCCCGTGATACCGGTTTTTCGGTATCGAGTATGAGTACCGATATTTTGCTGTCGGTACTGGACGATACCGAGTACCGCTACTGGTGCTTCTGCTGGCATTGAGCCGTCTTCCTGGGCAATCAGGAAGCCGGGGAGCGGGTAATGGAACACCGCCCGGCTTCCTTATTCCCAGGAAGCCAGCTCTATGTTTGGCCGGCTCAATGCTGATTGGCCGGGATACCTGCTTCCCAGCCAATCAGCATGGAGTCGGCTTAACAGATAGGTCAGTTAGTAACTTAGTGATGCGTGATAAGACTGAGGGGGCGAGCTGGGGAGTAGAGAGACAGATTTGAGTGCCATTGGCATAGAGATGGTATTGGAAGCCATGGGGTGTTATTAGCTGGCCAAGGGAGGAGGTGTAGATAGAGAATAGAAGGGGTCCGAAGACAGAGCCCTGGGGGATCCCTACTGAGGGAGGTAGTCATTTTACACAGGAGCAGCTTCATTTTAAAAGCCAGTAATTGCCAATAATAGTGACCAGGGTGGAATGGGGGCGGGGGGGGCAGAGAGAAGAGCTGGACCTTGCAGATGTCCTACAAATGTTATTGACGTTTTTAAAGGATATATTATGTTCACAATCCTCAGGTGGTAATGTGTACATAAAGTCAAAACTTTTTTTAGTTTTGGATTGCTGCGTCCATGCTCAGCCACTGCTGTTAGAGGAAGACGGAGCACACCAGGCATGGGCACAGTTTGTAGGAACGTCTAACGTCCGGCCCATCCTTCCTGCTGTTTAGCCAAGATGGAGGGGGGGGGGGGGGGATCCCCTAAAGGTTTTTGCAGACAAGTCGTGCAGGGTCTACAGGTATGCGGAAGGAAAGGGGCAGATTTGTATCAGATCTGAACACTGCTTTGCAATGTGCTGGGGAATTTTCACTTTTTATAGTTCAGTTGCAATTCAGTTTCACCATTTCAGCTAAATGCAGCTGTGCTGCTCTACCTTGGCTCATAGCAGACTTACCTGATGGTCATCTGGAATAGTGAAATAAAAATACAGAGTGGACCAGAAGGGCTACTATGTGTTCAGAGGCTGCCTAGAATGGCGGCTATTGGCAGAAATGCGTCAGGGGGCATTGTGGAGGACAGAACAACGCTAGACGCATTGACTGCCAATTATTCGCCTCAGTACAGCTCGTTCCAGGAGATAAATGGGGATGGTGACCTGTCCGCTCTTGTTTTTCTTGGAATGCCGGCAAGACTGGAACAAAGTGTCATGACACAAGGGAAGTCACAGAAGAGCGGAGGCTGCTGTCACTCTGATGTATGAAGGTTTGGACGCGTTTCATTGAAATGTCTCTGAATTTCATGGCTGTGAAGTGATCCTTCGACAGCTGACATGCTCTTCATAACAGACATAATTGTTGGGTTTACACGCAACAGTTTTGCAACATCACTTTAGTTCCATGCAAATGTACAGTATAACTACTATTTACTGAGATCAAATTCAACTTAGTGGTGTGTCGTAGAATCGCTGGAATTGCCATGCAGAATCCATTTAAAACGCACTCCCTGTAAACAATAATCAGGTGCTGCATGTACCAAATTGCTCGCAACCAGCACTCAAGTACTACAGGATACAACCCTAATGGTGGTAAGATGTCCCTACAATCCTTTTAATGGAGGCTTGGCCAGATTAATATTAATATAGGGGCTACTGGAGCACCAGCTCCGAACCAACAACTAAAAATAGGCCCGGTGGCTTTCTAATCAGGCATATTAGGTGGCCCTTGAGCCCCAGCAAGTAGTAAGTGGTGGCCTAATTAGACAGCCGCCTGTAACTGTTGCTTCCTGTCCGACCGACCGACAGCATCAGGCCCATGATACTCTTACTCCAGCCATGGGTGCAGGTCAAGGGAGGGCTCGGGGGGGTTTGCTGGCGGTGCAGGTTGGAGTACAGTGCTGGGTGCTGACGGTGCACGTCTGGGGGAAGGCAGGGGGGTTTGTGGTGGTGCAGGTTGAGATTGGGTGCTGGAGGTGCAGGTCTGTGGAGGGGGAAGGCACCTCTGTCTGGCGTCCCGTCCAGCTGACTGGTTGCCAGAAGAATTCCGGCCAGAGCATGACAGGTTGCTGATCTCTTAGCAGCATGTTACGCTCCGGCTGGAAAGGGGGCAGTGGGCACCCCTGCTGCCACCCAACGTGCCCTAATGAGATGCTGCCTGAGGCAACCACTTTATGTTGCTTCATTATAGGGATGGCCCTTTTGACTGTCCAAAGTTCATTCACATACTCCAACAGGACCACAGTTGGACAAAAGTGTTCTCGGCTTTTCAGCTCTCTCCGGACTAAGGAAATCTTCAAACAATAATAAAAAAGTTATACTCGCCCGATTCTTGGAGCCGTCTTGCTCTTAGACCTGTCCCTGCTGCCTGTCTCTTCTGCTGCAGCAATGGTATGTCCCTTGGCATCATCACGTCCTTTACACAGTGTATTGTACATGATGACATAGGGACCTTAGACTGCTGCAGCGGAGGGGGAGAGAGGCTCCAGGCACTGTTCTCAGAGCAAGCCGGCTCAGTGGATCAGGTGAGCATCACTTTTTTATTTTAGCACCTAGACAAATACGAGCACTTAACCCTTGCAGTGCGGCGGCACCCCTACTACAAGGGCTAAGAACAGTTTTGCCGGAGGTCTTCTTTAATAAAGTTTTATTGAAGATTTTGCACAGGGCCAGTGCGCTCTTTTTGTTCTTTTAGTGAAAATATCATAGAAAACCTATAAGCCCAATGATGCTGCTGGAACAAAAGTCAACCTGGTAGGCTGCTCCCAAGCCCCAGGTCAGGTCACTCTTCTAAAGACCCGGGTGCCAACCGTTGGAGGGGGGTCATCCTTTGCCCCATGATTCACTAAAGTCTATGAAGAAGAAAAGGCCGAATGCACTGCAGGAAAGTTCAACTTGATTGTCCTGGACCTGCCTGGGACCTCTTCCACCGACACGTTTCACCGTAATCGTACCTTGTTTGTCCAGCATTATATCTGGAGTTCAGCTTTCATTATATACTGTTATCAGAATAAACTGTTTTATGTGATAAGCAGAGCTGGAATTTGTAGTGTCTCTCGCATCGATTGTCCCCAATATGGCCGCCTTCGCTTACATAAAGTGCCATTGTCTTCTGTGATTTCCGTTGCGCGGACATGGAATTCTAGACTTTTGGCTACCCAATCCCCCCCCCCCAGCATGACCCATAGGTAAGGCATTTACCCAAATGATCACATTGTACAGATACTGTATGTCTGTCTTCACGCATGTAGGGTTCTAATCCAACTAGGGTTGGGTGGCCTGAAGCAAAAAATCTGTTTTTCCAGCAATACGTTCCTTACGTTGAGATTGTGCCAAGCGGCTGATCCGTCTGGAGACACTCTGTTTTTAATGAGGATTTAAAGCTTTTATGAGCTGTTAACAACAGTGACAACGTTTGTTGAATGATTTGTCTCTGAACTAGTCTCTGAACCACACATGACAGACGAGCAAACTAATTCCCTGTAACCAAGAAACCTGCTAACTATATATATATGTGGAGAGGCCACTGACTACACAGCCCAAGATAACATGGCTGGCACTCTACTATGGCCCTTCGGTTTTCCACAGATATTTAATTCCTATTTCAAGTGCAAATGAAGCCAACACTTTTTTCTTAGTTTTGGATGGAGTGGAGAGGGAACCTCTATTAGGTTTTTATCGCTGTCTGTGCCCCGTTAAGGAGATTCACCCTGTCTATTTGTCCTGGTGACCGTTATCGCTGAAAAGGGAAAGCAAATCACAACTTTTGGGTTGTCACCAGAACGGGAATAGATGGGTAATCGTCCAATGAGGACAGTAGATCTGGTGACCCTGGGGCGAGGGGTACCCTTAGGTGTACAGTAGTGATGTACCATACTACTGGGCAGAGCAGGTCATTCACTTTCGCGGAGGTGATGCTCTCTACTCCCTCGCACATCCAACCCACCTAGACATTGAAATTTCACTTTTATTGCTTAATAATGAAATGATTTAAATAAATACTCTTTTCCTCAACCTTACACCCAACGTGTTTCCTGCAGAAGAGACATAAGTTAGTTATAAACTCCTATCGAAAGAGAGCCACTTCTGGTTTCATGTAATGACTTCAATGCTCATTTGCTGTCTGATGAGAGCTTCTACTTCTATCACACTATTGATCATTCAATGTTTCTGTCTAGGCCAGTGGTGGCAAACCTTGGCACTCCAGCTGTGCCAAAACTACACATCCCAACATGCATCTGCCTCTGGGAGTTATGTCTGTGGCTGTCAGAGCCTTGCAATGCCTCATAAGACTTGTAGTTCCAAAACAGCTGGAGTGCCAAGGTTCGCCACCACTGGTCTAGGCTATAGAGTACAAGTGCTATGAACCTTCTATATTCATATACTACAGCTCAAGCATTCCATCTCCATCCACATTGCTGCCGATCACCAGTCTATGTCCTTCTGCCTATCTTTTTCTATTTATGAAGGACTGTTATCCTTTTCTAAATTTCCATGTGTCAATTTGTGGTATGCCTCTGCCTGTTTTGGTTAATAATCAAAGTGGCAAAGTGAATGCCCACTACTCAACATGTTTCACCCCCAAATCCAGGCTTCATCAGGGGGAGGACGTAGTGCATTGTGAAAAATGTGGTGAAACTAAAGTTCAACCGTACACAATCAGAGTATATGGAAACTTTGTTTATTATATTAATCCCGGCCCAAATAACACAGACAGATTGCTACAGACACATGCAGGACATTAAAATGCAGAGATTTCAAAGTGTTCTAAGTATAATGGCTGAGCAACCAGGAAGTATGTATAATTTTTTTTCCCAAGAGGAAGAAACTGAGCTTTTTGTATACAGAGGGAATAATTCTCCTTACATTGGTGGTCAATGGGAAGAATGCCCCTTACATTGGTGGTCAGTGGGAAGAATGCCCCTTACATTGGTGGTAAGTGGGAAGAATGTTACATTGGTGGTCAGTGGGAAGAATGTTACATTGGTCGGTGATCAGTGGAAAGATTGCTCCTCACGTTGGTGGTCTCTGGGAAAAATGCTCCTTACATTGGTGATCAGTGGGAAGAATGATCCTTACATTGGTGGTCTCTGGGACAAATACTCCTTACATTGGTGGACAGAAGGAATAATGCTCCTTACATTGATGGTCAATAGGAAGAATGCTCCTTACATTGGTGGTCAGTAGGAAGATAGCAACCTTCACTGGTGATCAGTAAAAAGATTGTTCCTCACATTGGTGGTCCCTGGGAAAAATACTCCTTACATTGGTGGTCAATGGGAAGAATGCTCCTTACATTGGTGGTCAATGGGAGAATGCTTCTTATATTGATGGTCATAGTTAGCTAAAAAGATCTTTGGTGTCAGTGATTACTTATCTGAGAGTCAGAAATTGCTTGTCTCTCAAGGGACCCCTAGCAACCTCTGGAGCAACTCTGACCTGAGGTTCCAGACGACGTTGAATTAGAAAGGCTGCCTTAGGGGGGAACAATAGTGAAGGGGCAAAATTTACAACTTGTCCAATTGGGCTTTTCCACAAAACAGCAACCAACAGAGAGCATCTATAGACAAAGATCAGCTGTCATCTCATATTTTGGGAACATTTAGCCATAGACACCAGTGAAAAGCCAGTGGAAGGCATGGAAGAATGTATATACGTATGTCTGATAAGACGCAGGTTTGGCTTCAATCAGTAAACCTTTCCTTTGCTCCTACAAGTCAGGTGTTGTATATTGAGCTGTCTTTGGACATCATGGATCAGTCTATAGAGATTAAAGTCACACTCCGGGGAGGCAATGTTTAAACGGCTCTGATCTTTCGTTTACATGAGCTCTGTCTGGCCTCGGAATGTCCTGACATCTGATAGATCAGCTGGGTGAGATGTTGAATCCTGTCCGTTTAATTGTGTCTACCCCACGGTGTGACATAAATGGCTCAGAACTCGTAGCAGGATGGAAATATACAGCGCGTCTAGCTTTTCATACATTTTCTAGATTTTTCCCACCATTATATTTAGGACAGAAAAAACAAACAAACTTTAATATGGTTTATTATTTAATGAGCTTAATATAAAGTATTGCATATGAATATTTCAGATTTACCACGGGGATCTCGGTTGGTTTTCGAATGTTCACCAGGAAAACTTTAAACTCTTGCTGAAAAAAAAAAAAGTCTGTGATGCTTACACTGAGCTGATTAACTGAAACTCAAATTACACACACAGCTGAATAAGTCAGAGGAAGGAAATGCACTCCCTCTCTTCCCTCTGCTTTTTTTTGTATGGATTTGCCATTAGAGAAAAGCTGATATTGAAAATAGACATGTGCGATTCGTTTCGTTCCGAATCCAAATTCGTACAAATTTTCTGAAATTCTGGCACATCCGAATTTCCGAATCCCAGTGCATCCGAATGTGTTCAAATCTGAATTTCCGTTTACGAATTTCAGATCCCGTCCGAATTTCGTTCAAAAACTAAACTGAATCGGACATGTGACTTTTCTGGCCAATCAGATGTGTTTTTCGGTTTGATGCATCCGAATGGGTCTGAACACGAATTTTCGTTACAGCAACATGGGAGCCATATACAGTATATACATATAATACTAAAGCCGAGACTCCTAGACCCGAATGGCATTCAGGAGCTCCCCAATGCAATTCGGAAATTCGGATCCCAAATGCAATTCGGGTCTAGGAGATTCAGCTTTAGTATTAATACCTGTAGATGGTTTTCTGTGGTATTTGCAACGAATATTCAAAAACTCATCCGAAACCAACTAAAATTCGGTTTACGCCCAAATCCGAAACCCGGACCGGATTAAATTTCGTATCCGAATCCCGAAATAACGAAATATCCGTACCGAACCAAATTTTTCCACATCTTACATGTCTTATTGAAAACAAGTGCTGGGCTTTCTCTTTAAAAAATCCAGAAGGCCCTGCGAAACCAGTGTCATGGAAGCACCCGTGAGGGCCTGTTCACACCTATAGGTTTTATGACATACCAGCACATGTTAACCATGTGGTGATAATTCACATCTGAGTGATACTTTGATATGATTTCTCTATAAAACTTCATTCCCACCACTAGATAGACTCAAGAAGCATAGGAAATCCTATTCTCCCTGACTCCATCTAGTGGTGGGCATGCTGTGTGAATGGCAGTCACCCAGCGTATGGCTGGGCTGATGATTAAAAACCTTTCATTCATAATGGCAACCAAAAATGATTTTTCCTCCAAAATTAATAATTTTCCTCCTTTTGTTTCAGATTTGTGGCATGAGACACAAGATGCATTTCGTGTGGATATTTATCTTGACGCTGATGGCGGCTGGGGTGACGCCAACTAATGGGACTCCGGAATCATGGGGCTTCTCACAGATATTGTCTCATTTGGTGAGTGTCAATGAGTAACACAAAATGGTCCTATCACAAACAGATACAACCCTCCCAGTGTAAAGCTCACCACACACGTCCCAATCTGATTGTAGAATCTCCTTTGGATCTACCAAAAACTATGTAATACAAGGGTTGGCCTGACTGGGGTACAGACTGATTGGTTAGGTTAGGTAGGTGCTCATGTTGCACAGTTTTGGTAAATCTAAAGTTCAATAAACTTGTATGGCCTGTGCCTAGGGGAGGGGGAGGGTTATGGTCAGAGGGTTAGTTATTGGACCTTGCATGGTCCTTTAAGGTTGTTGGCATACGTTATGCCGTAATGTATACACTGTTGTGTGTGAATGGGGTGCTATGTTGGTGCCCGAATGTTACTGTAATGTAATGTAACTGTTTACTATGCAAAATGAATAAAAAGATTTTTCAAAAAAAAAAAACTTGTATGGCCAGATTGTAACATGTAAGGTGACCCAGCATGGTTTTGGGTTGTCACGATTACACAATGTAGGCATGAATTTGAAGGGCTGAACCAATATTAAATGGAAACTCTCTGGACAGAAATATGGAATCTGTCATTGCTGATTTTTTTTTGGAGAGCACAAGGTCCAGGTCCTTCTTGGGGTGTCAATGACCTGGAGCCAACGTGGACATATCAGAACATCTAATATGCTCAGTGAGTCATTAGAGCATGAAGTAGGTTTATAACCAATTCACAGGGCCCTACGAATCTTGCTGAACGTTGGTTTTGTGTGAATAGACCCAGATATATATTTTCAGGTTGAATTAATAATTGTAATACTGCATTTTGGCCTCTAGATGGAGATGAGGAGTATTTATTAACTGTGATCCTCAACTCCATCTAGTGGCCATAATGCAGTATTACATTATATACATTCGACCTAAAAAGAAAGTATATGTAAGAACGTCTTTTTTTGCTTCAATTCGCACAGAACGAATTTTGAGAAAGATTCATAGGCCAAATGGCTCTGGGAATTGGTTATAATTGGAATCCTTAAAGTTTAAGCCTTCAAAAATAACAATGGCAGCTCCTATTTCTGTTTTGTCAGTTTCCTGTTCATTTATGTCATGTCACTGGCATCAAGGATGGTGCATTGATAGGTTGGGTGTAACACTACTACTTGAATGTACTGCCTACTTTAAACTTGTAGTGAAACCTGCCATACTCCGTACAGGATAAAGACCTTAAAGTATACTTAAATCGCAACAATTTAATATATTGCAGCTTATCCATCCTTAGATGTGGTGGCTGCATTCGTTTTTTGTTTTGGTTTTTTTTCAGCTGCCAGTAACAAACTTTCTGTCCTAGGGTGACAATGCTTACTCACTGTACTGTATCTATATAGGAGCAGCGTTGTCACCCTAGGACAGGACTACAGAACATCCCACCTTCCATATAACATACAGGGGAGATAGTCTCCTCCAGTCCACAGAGATAGCTTTGAACAATGTAACCGATATGAGTGTAGCAAAGGCACAGGAAGATATCAACTCACATGGATAAGGATTCAGGAGCCCAGAGCCCAACCCAGAGGAGGTGTTTAGTAGTCCATAAAAATAGCTGGGAATGATGTAACGTAAAAGAGTACAGAACAGGCACAGTGTACCGAGCCCGGTCCGAACCTGAGCTCCAACAAACCCGGAAGGACTTCCTTCCTCAAGAAGAAAGCTCCGTCTGTGCCGCCCAATCAACTGTGGGCGGGGGTTTTCCATGCCTGTAGCTTGACATAAGCAAAGGGGTGGGATGCAGTGATGTAATTGACCTTATATGGAGACATACCTATATTTGGCACTTCCTTGTTCATAGGAGCTCAGGTTCTGGTTGGGTTTGGTCTGAACCTAAGCTCAATTTTTTGGAAGGATCAACATTTTGTTTTTGCATTTATCAAACAGATCTAACAAAACGCTTTCATTGGTATATTTAATAGACCAAAAGGAAGCAAATATGAGAAATGTATTTTTCGGGTTTACATTCACTTTTACCAGGATGCAGTGACATCATTGACCTTATATGGAGACATGCCTATATTTGGTAAATTACATTTACCTAATATGGCTGTGTGGCCATATAAGGTCAATGATGTCAGCCCAGGTATTCCACCCCTTTGTTTGCAGACATTACTCAACCTGCAGCTGATTGGGTGGATGTGCCCATGGTATGTTCGCAGGAGCTCAGGTTCGGACGGGGTTCGGTTCGAACCTGAGCTCATCCCCACAGGATCACCATTTATTTTTTTTGGCATTTGTAGCACACCTCCTAAGGAGCTGCAGAGAAAAGGTGGGTCATCCATTATAGCCATGTCTAGGGGATCCAGGTTCTGACTGCCCATTAGCACTCACCACCCTCCATGGTGACCGATAAAAGTAAAGTACAGACTGAAGGTATGAAGCTGAAGACCTTTATCAGCCAACTTCAGGTAGAGAGGTACAGGGTCAGGATCATCCAAGCTGGTGTAGACTTCTTTAAGCAATGGGACAGAATAACTGCTGCCATCACAGACTAGGACCTTTAAGCCAGACATGGCAAGCTGTGTGTAGAGCACCCGGTCGAGCAGCACTTGAATTAGAAGTCATTGGTCATCTTCATTTTTGATATCAGTAGTAGCCACTAGGCCCCAGACCTCAGTGCAAGCATATGGCTAGTCCCCAGGCTTTAGGCCTAGCCAAATCAGACAGTCCATATCAGCCTCCCCCCCAGGCAGGGGAGGAAGAGAAAGCTCACATGGTCCATCCCAAGTATTTATCTCCTCTCCCAGCATGCACCACTGGCCGTAAAAACCTCCTAGCGATTGGCTGGGGAGACATGCCTCCTCATAGCAATTTCTCTTTGGTTGCTCTGCCCTGTGGCCAGGATACACACAACAGCAGACAGATGCAAACGATGACAGACTGATTAGGGGAAACCAATCAGCATCAGACTGATTACAATCTGACAATACAAACTTTATTAAGCACTCCTGCCTACAGGGTGCTACACATTTATCAAACAGATCGAACAAAATGCTTTTATTGGTATGTTTAAGAGACCAAAAAGAAGCAAATATGAGAATTTTATTGTTGGGGTTTACATACACTTCAATTAGACTTTAATGGGTGCCCTGTCCTGAGCTCCTAGGCATCTTTTCTCTGCCAGCCCTGGCTCCTTTGTGTCATTTCCATATCTCATATCTCATCAATGATGGAAGTGACAGCTACATTTCTTCTGCTCGGAATGGGGTCCCAAAACCTTCAGACTGTTTTCATCAACGACCAAACGCATTTCCAAAAGAATGTCAGACTGGCATCTACTCTGCTGCCTTCTCCGTAGCAGATAATTTAATCAAATCCAATCACTTGGCTCACTTCAGAGTCAGAACCCCGGACTCCACATTTTTCTATATATGGCTATGAGATTTACGACCTCAATAATTGCTTATCCACGATGTTTGGGCTACGCTGGAAAAAAATATCTCATATAACAATAAGACATCCTGCAGTAATTAAAACGTGCGGCAAGGCGGAAAGTTGAGTTTCAGGACTTTTTTGTGTGGTCATAAAACAGATGTTGGCCCAAAGCAAAGCAGATTTTTTTTTTCCTGAGCCACTCTTTCGCCCACCACCCGTAATGTAGACATACACCCAAGACCAAAAATGTAACGGAATTCATCTTACCAGACCTTAAAAGTGGGGGGCTGCATTACTTTTCTTTTTTGACCCTGGTGATCCTGCCAGTCCAAGGGTGACCATGCTCCTTCATTGTACTATATGTGTGGAGAAGCAGCATTGTTACCCTAGTGAAAGACGTGTTGCAACTAAAAAAAACACCCTCTCTCTCTTCTCCACAACATGAGGGAGGTTTTCTGTAGTTTTCAGAGAGAACAGGGAACAATGATAACTGATGAGAGTCCAGCAGAGGCAGATAGCACAAGACGTTTGGAGGTCAATGGCGCCCCGAGGCCAGATGTCATCCAGAGTGGATACCGGGTGACACCCCGCCGTGACGTCACCGCACATGCACGGCCATCTTGGTGATACCTGCCGGCGGCCATCTTGGTGATGGACGCTGGCAGAGAGAGGAGGGGACATTCACCCGGCAGGATAAGGTATGCCACCGAGTCCCCTCCTCTCTCCTGACACTGTCGAGCTCTCGCTCCATGACCGACTGCCTGACTTTTCAGAGGGGGTGACACCAAAATGACTGTGTTACCCGGGTGTGGGCAGGACCCCCCGTACCCCCCTTGTTACGCCACTCTTGGAGGTCACTGGATTTCTGGCAGGATCCACAGGGGTTTTTTTTCGTACTTATTAAACCAATGTCACAAAATGCTTCCAATGATATGAGCATGTTGTATAATGAAGCCTCAAATTGTTTGTGCTGGAACAAAAAAGTTGATTTTAGCTGTTTGGAACCAGCAGTGTACGTGTTCATTATACAACATGGATGATAGAGGGAGGGGACAGACTCAGAGATTCATCCACAGCCGGGAGGTGTATGATGGAGAGACTACAGGGTGGTGCCAGGGCAAGGAGTAAATGTGAGCAGAGCCAATTCAGCAGGGAGCGTTCTAGACCGCTGAAGAGCCAGACTGCCGCACTCTGTGTTGAGAACTCTGAATAAAAAAACTATAAATTCCACCTGCCACTGAGGCAGAGAGACTTGTAAATGTCAAAGGAGCACAAGTGAGATGATGTCAATGCAGCTTTAGTCCATTGATCACCTCCAGCCCCATAACTGAAAGTCCATACAGATCTGAGGTTTGGAGGAAGAGTTTGCGGGAGTCTGGTCATTGCCCCTGATCACTGTTGCAATGCTCTGCAGGTTCCAATGCAAAAATGATTAATAGGGTAATTCACAAAGCTGCCAAAGTATCCAGCCGTAGCTTCGGCTGAGCCTTCAGCTTGCTTCGGTTGCGGGAGCTCTTCAGTTCAGTCGAACCGAAGGGCTGCTGCACAGGCTATTCACTATAGCCCGTACAGCAGCCAAAGGCGCCTGAGCGGCTCAGCCGAGAAGCAGGCATATGTTAGTAAATTAGTAAACTAAATGTGAGATTGTAGTCCATCATGGGAGCTTGGAGCGGTGACTACTTTACAACACACACAGGGACCATGTGGAACAAAAGTAGCCCCCCTCCAGAAGGAAGGACAGTGTCAGCACCAATTCACAGATGATTGGAGGATCTACAGCCGAGTGATACACACATAAGATACATTTTTTGTTAATAGTTAAAGGAGAACTATGAGATGAGTGCTTTTCACTCACCTCATAGTTCTAGCCGACCTGTGACAATGAGACTGTCACAGGTCGGCTCAGTAGATCGGGAAGTGAGCGAACACATACCCGTGTTCGCTCACCTCCCAACCCTTCACGGCTCTCTGCCGTGACAGGGGAGGGGCTGGATTTCCCCCCTCCCCGCTCTGATCCGCCAGCGATGACTGGCGAAACGGACGGGGGAGGGGGCGGGTACAGCTGGCTCTGCCTCTAGATAGGCAGAGCCAGCTGTCAGAGCCGGCTGGGTGGATCCAGACATAATTGCCGGGATCCGCTTCAGCTGCTGCGTCTCAGTATACCGCGAGCAGTAGCTCGCGGTATACTGCGGCGTCTCTCAGTATACCGCAAGCTACAGCTCGCGGTATACTGAGCCTAGGGTGACGGGAGGACGCTAGTTTGTGTCCTCCCGTTACCCTAAGGAGAACTATGGGGAAAAGCCTTAATCCCATAGTTCTCCTTTAAGGTACTTGAATGTATTTTTTAGATTTAACTTCTGAGTTTAGTGTCACTTTAAGTTGCTCTAAAACTCTATAACTCTTTGAACAATGATCCAAAGCAGCCGATCGCATCAGCAATATAGACAGCCCAATGCCAGATGATCACCAATTATCGGGTTACTGTACTTAACACATTGGTTTATTAGACACATCCGGTTGTGTTTGCAATGGAACCGGGCTGCCCAGCGTGTGACATTTACATTGAATGCTTTACTTTCATTCTGTTCTTGGAACTTTTCAGCTGTGGTGAATGTCTGCACCATTGTAGATAGAAATGAGTTTAGTTCAGTATAATGTGAGGATTAGGCTAACAAAAATATCATCTGATTTACACGTCTATCTTTTTTTGCCTTCTCACGCTGTCCAAGGACTTTGTAGAATGGAGAGGTGAGTTACAGGTGCTTGGGTTGTGTAGTATCAGGATATATGGACTTTGTTTTAGCTGTTTAGCTGCTGTATTATACAGTACCTTCAGATTGATCCTTGTTTGCACCCAAATCCCTCTGTCCCTCTTTCCTTCTCAGTTGTTGTCTCTCTTTCCTTCTCAGTTGTCTCTCTTTCCTCCTCAGTTGTTGCCTCTCTTTCCTTCTCAGTTGTCTCTCTTTCCTCCTCAGTTGTTGTCTCTCTTTCCTCCTCAGTTGTTGTCTCTCTTTCCTTCTCAGTTGTTGTCTCTCTTTCCTTCTCAGTTGTCCCTCTTTCCTCCTCAGTTGTTGTCTCTCTTTCCTTCTCAGTTGTTGTCTCTCTTTCCTTCTCAGTTGTTGTCTCTCTTTCCTCCTCAGTTGTCCCTCTTTCCTTCTCAGTTGTTGTCCCTCTTACCTCCTCAGTTGTCTCTCTTTCCTCCTCAGTTGTGCTTTTTACCTCCCCAGTTGTCCCTCTTCCCCCCTCAGTTGCCCCTCTTTCCTCTTTAGTTGTCCTTCTTTTCTCCTCAGTTATCTCTCTTTCTTACTCAGTTGTCCTTATTCTCTCCTCAGTTGTCCCTCTTTCCACCTTTGTTGTCCCTCTTTCCTCCTCAATTGTCCTTCCTTCTTTGCTCCTCAGTTGCCTCTCTTTCCTCCTCAGTTGCTCCTCTTTCCTCCTCAGTTGCCCCTCTTTCCTCCTCAGTTGTTCCTCTTTCCTCCTCAGTTGTCCCTCCTTTTGGTCTGATGTACAGATATCTATGAAAATGTTCTATTTAACTACCAAAAATGTAATTCTGCACTAAAATCTACATCCTATCTCCTTACTCTTTCGCTGCCAGAGCCGTTTGTGAAACCCTCCCAGAATGATATATTTCCTGAAAGCAGATACCCTGGAGAAAAAACTGTTGTTAGCTGCATTTTTTTTCTATTAATGTCACATGATATTAGCGCAACTCTTTATCAAACCCAAAATTCCAGTAGAAAATACACTTTATTATTTATTATTTTGTAAGGTGTAAAAGATGAGGTTGTGCTGAGTAAATAGAAACCCAACATGCCAAGCTTAATTGTGCGTTCGTGAAACGGTGAAAAACTATGGTGCCCCAAATTGTCCATAGGCAAAGCTTTAAAAGCC